GAGCAGCATATTAAGCCCACTGAACTGAAACTGGAGCACAGAAAATTTGAGATCTCTTATCAGAAAAGTTTCACTCATAAATGAAGGAATGAACAAATGAATGAACTGTTTCAAATTGAAATGGAAGCACCTTTTGATCTGAAATTCCCCATTACTAGAACTATTCCGGCAAGACTCAGATGATCCTCTTATCACAGGTGACAGAAGGCTGATCCACAAGACATCATATGCCTGGGTCACTGATACTGGACATCTCCCTTGGAACACATAGTAGCCACTTCGATCCAACTTGCCCAAAGCTGCCTTCATGGCATGGCCTGACACACCTCGTCCTTTTCCTATTTTGGTGTGAGTGGTACAGTCACCAGTCTGCTTGCCCCAGGCCAGTGAAGAAGTGTGACCTATACAGGTATTCCTCAGCACCAGCTCCCATTTCCAGCCTTGCCTCTCTTAAATCCATCCTCTGCTTTCTGCCAGAGCTATGTTCCTATGATGCAAATGTGAGGGCGTCATTTCCCATTTAAAACTCTCACATGATCGTATTATCTCAAAAGCAAAGTTTAATCTTTACATAATATACAGTGAAAGCCCCCAGCACCCAGCCTCTACCTATATACCTACCTTTAGCCTCATTTCTCACCATCCAACTCACAAATTGCATCTTACTAATACAAAAGAGCCACATGTTGTGCAATGATTCATGCTGCCACTTTTGCTCAAGTTCCCTCTAATCCTGCAGTGGCACTGGACCTTACTTTTTATCCTCAAATCTCAGCTCATCTCTTCAGAGAATCCTCCCCTATCCCCTAGATTAGCACCACTTGGTGTTAAGGCTTAGATCTAAAATGTCCCCTAAAAAGCTCATGTGTTCAGAGGTGGGACTTTTGGAATGTGATTAGATCACTGGGGGCTCTGTACTCATTAGTGGGTTGTTAGGAGGTTCAGTCTGATCAGAAGGGACAGGTCACTGGGGACATGACCTGGAAGGGTGTATTCTTGTCCCTGGCTCCTCTCTTCCCTCTGCTTGGCCACCGTGGGTTAAGCAGCTTTCCTCCATCAGCCCCTTCTGCCATGCTGTTTCTGCCTTGGAGCCGGCCACCCATGGACTAAACCTCTGAAACCGTGATCCAGAATAAACCTCTCCTCCTCAAAGTTGCCAGTGTAGGATATTTTGTCCCTGGGATAGGAAAGTGATTAACATATTGGGGCTCCCACTGTACCCTGTGCTCCATTCAGTCTCACACCCAAATATATTTAAATGACCTGATTCTGTGAGAGTTTTCTGCTACACTGCCACTCACAACTTCTTAAACTGAGCTTAAAAGGTGATAAGGGGCTCTGCTCCTGTATATATCTAGGGGCAGAAGCAACCCCAAGTGGTCAGAATGAAGCAGAGGCACTCTCTCTGCAACCACACCGTGTTGCTGCTACATAGCTTTCAGTGCTGGCTCTAACGAGGAGGTTAACTGTAACCTTCCACATTCTGGAACTGTGGGGCTGCTTCCAGAACTCAGATCCAGAAAAGACAGCTGCTCTGCTGCATGTAGTCTTTGAGGGGCTTTTCAGGATTGCCACAGGGAATCCCTAGGAAATTGGAAATCTCCTTGGAGAAAAAATGCTTTCAGGCAAATCCAAAATATTAGTAACTATCAATAATATCATCATGCTGACAGGCAAACTGCCAAGGAGAAACGGAAATTGATCTCATCCCTCATGATCAAGCTGACAAACTTGTGTTTGGATATTTTTCAATCAGGGCACGAAAACACAACAGTCTCTTCTCTAAAGGATGCTGATTATACATGAAACAGCTCCAATATATCCCCTGGGTGGGTGCCTGGTAACCATGTGCTGAATGGATGCAGAAGTGAATCCCCAGCACAGGTTCTTATTTGTTCCTTTCAGATCTGTAGACAAAACTGCAAAACAAAGCATTCCACTTCTTGTTCTCAATTTCAATTAACAATAACAAAGGTAACAGTCTCAGCGGAGAATTAAGGCAGGAGCTGAAACAAATGACAGTGGACTCAGTTATCTGTGCTAATCAGGGAGAAAAAGAAATGAACAATCAAAGGGAACAAGTACAAAGAAAGAAAGGTAAAAAACACCTCAACTCTTACTGTGAGCAATATCCCTACTGCTGGCCCGGTACCTCTTACTGGTATGACTGGCACTTTTCTACTCAGCTTTCCTCCCTAAAAATAGGTATCAGGTCAGAAAGTTTCCCATCAAAACAAGCCCCTCCTCCAAGCCTCTGGCTGTAACTAACTAGAAAATATCTCCAAGATGTGGTGGGCACAAACAGCTCCTAAATCATTCCTCACTCACCTGTGTCCTTGGTATCTAGCACATCTGGTTCATTGTTGATGTTTAACAAATGTTTGTGTAATTGACCTAAAGTAACTCCTAACAGAAATATGCTCATGTTCCAGCATGGGCTCTAACTCCTGACAGATCACATTGTTTGCTTGCGATCTGAAGGTAAACTGGATGATCTCTGGAGCCTCTTGGGCACCACGAGGTTATATACATCCAGGGAGTCCCCACTGTGCTCAGGGGTTGTCACTAATACCAAACACAACAGTAAGGATCCCCCTTAGGCTTGTGGGAATGGCACCACACCCAGATCCTTTCCAGGTTTATAGATGAGGAAAAAAAAAAAGAAGAAAAAAAGAAAAGCAACCTTGGAAAACTAAGTATGTGTGACCTATGTATTGATCAATCAAATATTCACTAAGTGCCTGCTACCCTGTAGAAACTAGAAATTCTTGTCTACAAAGGCCTTTCTAATGAGTTGAAGAATTCAGGTGTAAAATGAGAAAGTAGCTTTAAAGAGGAGTAAGAATATAATCAATGCCTGATTAATGAGACAGCCAATAAATGCCACGAGGCTGAGAGGACAGATCATTATGGGTGGAGAGGACAGGCAAAAGGGACCTGAAATGCCAGACCAGAGCCCAAGTCCTGCTTGTCAGAAGCAGCCTCACTGGTGGTTGGGCAACAGAGTAAACCACCACCGTGGTCTGAGAATATGAACTAACTTCAATATCATCTCCTGCTTTTCAGAGCAGCAGGAGGAGAAGTAAAACACGTCTGTGAGCAACACACTGAGAAAATGCCAGGTGGCTATGCAGATTTGGGCCAAGCTCAGGGGAATATTTGGGACACACATGTACCTATCAAAGGAGGCCTGTTTATACTATCATATTTACAAATGCTTTACTTGAAATACATATTATAGATACCTCCAAATGACCCACCCACATAGAGGGTTGCTACTATGTCCATAATCTCCGAAGTCTACAGCCCCAAAGTCATTATGAAATGTCTGGGGAGGGCATTATGATTTCCTGGCAGGAGGTTTATTTTCCTGGTCATGTTTTGCTCCAGCTAGTGTAGAATGACGCTGCGTTCCCTGAGCCCATATGCACCGACAGATGGTGTAAGAGGACTAGAATCACGCGAACTCCTTCAGAGGAGCCAGCTTGGAATGCAAATGTAATCTGTGGAGAAGTTAAACAAGGGAAATTGAGAATTGACTCTGAACTCCAAAAGTCATATAAAGAATGAAATGTATTCCTAGGAAGCCAAACTCTGTCCCTGCATGACTTCTACACAGAGCAGAGTACTAAACACAATTGTTTCCTTGCCTGTTTTACAACTGAGGGTGTAATAAAATGCTTAAAGGCAAGGGGACAACGTCCTGGAGCTCTTTAGATACACAGCACCCTCCACAAGCAGACAAGCAGTGCTGACTAACTGTGTGAGATGTGAATTAAATGAACAGATACACACATGTCAACATGAATGTGGAGAGCACCGTCCTTTGTGACTGTGAGCTCTGTGACAGTCATCATTCAAGTAAACGCCAATCCAAACACAGGTGCAGAGTGTTGTGTGCGAACAGTGTTGGGTCCTCTGACTCTTGGCTCTATAGAAGCAACTGACCGGTGCACACAGAAGAGAGAAGTCAGGTGGGAAGCCAAATGCCAGCGCTTTGTTTCCTCCAGCTTCCTGGAAGCTGTGCTGCTCTGCACATGTCAAATTAACCACAAGGGAAACCAGCTGCTAAGATCTCTTTTTCAAACAGCCCACCCTTCTCTTGCTGCTGGCCCTGATTCTAAAAGCAGTGAAGAAAAAGAAAGCGTTCTACTTTGTTGTAAAAGACGTTTACAGAAGCCCTCTTTACCTCCGTCAGTAATCCGTCTAAAAGGATCAGTGCAAAAATGGAGAGGAATGAGGGTCACCCCTCCCTGGTAAACATCAACTGCTCAATAACTCCAAGAAAGCAATGAAAGAACCGGTTCTGATAAAATCAGGACATAAGGGAATACAAGTTACAAAATCTTCACACTTTCGTTTTTCAGCACAATATACTGCAAAGAATACAGGACATAAACTAAACAGCCAAGTGTTAATAATGCCTCTATCACTAACAAGTAGGAAGACCATGGGGAAGCACTTTACCTTGTTGAGCTTCGGTTTCCTCATCTGTAAAATAAAGCAGTTGACTTCGAAGTCCCATCAAGCTCTATCTATGAGAATCTCAACATCAAGTACAGCATAGCAAAAGTTGACTGGCTACCAACTTATATACTTTGTATAATTATTATTTCTTTATTATTTTTATTGTTATTCTGAGTAAATCTATGTACAGTATGTCACACTTATACAAAGCAAGAGAAGACAAATTGAGTTTCTAGTTAATTTTTAGTCATTATCAATTTGCTATACTTATAGAGTTGTACTTTCAGATCAATAAAATTATTTCAATTATTTCTCACAATACCCTTTTGAGATTAAAAAAAAAAAAAAGTGGGGGGGAGAGCCGGTTACTGTGCGTACTTGCTAATAAGAAAAGTTTAAGTAATTTTCATAAGTCCCAAACTGTGCTGTCAACCACCTACCACTGTGCAGCAATAACCATGTATTACCACAGACATGAATCTCTGGAAGAACAGTTTGATGTTAAAACAAAAGGCTGAATCAGACACACTTACTTCAGCTCATTGGTTTCCGTGCCCTGGGCAATGGCCATGATGATGCCGCCATGGTCTCCCCACGTGTAGTAGTGAGGTCCAGGAAGTGCCTGAAGAGGAAAGAAGCCATGATGCCGCTGCTGTGCAGGTAACTGCAAAAGCTGTGCACATACTGTATGCATGCACACACGCGGGTACACACAGACACACTAGTCTACATACACGCACACATACACAGCAGTAATGTCAACCACTTGAATATAATTTTTCAGTTTCGTGAACATATCCGTCATTTCACTGTGCCACATGCACTTCTGGGAACAGGCGGAACAGCTCTCATATCCCAATTATTTCCCAAACAAAGAAATAAGGCAGAATATAAACAGCAAAGGTGGGACTCAAACTCAAATCTCTGTCTCTTGCCAATTAGTGATTAAAAATTAAGCAAATGGCATTTGGGGGTAAAGCTCATTGGTATAGCACTTGTATGAGGCCCTGGGTTCCATGCCTAGCACAGAAAAAAAAATTAACCCTGTGGAGTTCCAGTTCTGAGAGTATAAGCCCCCTGTAACCCACCACTCCTATTAATCACAACTAAGAACTTTGCACAAAAGAGAGAGAGAGATTAAAAGAAGAGAGAAAGGAAAGGGAAGGGAAGAGAAGGGGAGAGAAAGAAAGGGGGGAAGGGGAGGGGAGGGGAGGGAAGGGAACGGAAGGGAACGGAAGGGAACGGAAGAGAAGAGAAGAGAAGAGAAGAGAAGAGAAGAGAAGAGAAGAGAAGAGAAGAGAAGAGAAGAGAAGAGAAGAGCCACTTGCAGAGGATGCTGACAAAGTAAACAAAAGAAGCCATTTTGTGGAGTGGATTTAAAGCCTGTAGAACCTACCACAGTGTGTGTTTCCTGGTGCTGCCCAGCAGGAAAACCCCAGCCACTGAGCACCTCAGTGCGAGTCAGAGAACTCAAACTTCACTAGAAACTATTTCTACCGAAAAGCCAGGAAAAGAGTCCCTGCATGCTAAGTAAAATGTGAGAGGAATCCCAGAGGGGCGGGCGTCAAAAAAGGAAATCTCTCAATTCTGTTAGGAACTTAACATAAGTCTCAGCCTAACCTCTAAACTACTCCTGTGGGAAACAGATCCAATGCAACACAGCAAATGCTCAGCAGAGCAAACTCACATTTGAGCTGCCACCTACAGAAAGCAAGACAGAACTTCCGGTCATAACCCAAACAAGCTGATTGCACACTAAAACAAAAATATCAACCTTCTGCACAAGATTTAATTTCAGGGATTTTATTCACATGTTTAGAATACAAACTCTAATTTCTCAACACATAAACACATCCATAAAATAGTCTAATTCTTAAGGGAAAAGAAAATCAACAAGAGTCAATCCAAAAATGATCTATATATTGAGATTTTAAAATAGCTTTTATAACCATGTTCCATGAGGTAAAGGAAAACACATGTGAAATAAACAAAAGATAAGAATTCTTCCCCAGAGAAGTGGAAATCATGCTAAAAAATTAAATAGAAACTTTATAATATAAAAATACAGTATCTGAAATAAGATATACAATGAGATCAATTTCAGACTAGAAATATTAGAAGAATTAATGAACTTGAAGATATATATCTGTATTTACTGATCAGTAGAAAATATCCATCCTAGAGAAAATACAAAGAGAAACAGAAAGAAGCACCAAAAATCTGTGAGACAATAGCAAAAGGTCTTATATGACCTTTTAGTCTGAGAAGAACAGACGAGAAGGACTTGGAGAGAAAAAGTCTTTGAAGAAATAATGGCTGAGAATATCTCAAATTTGATAAAAGTTATAAATTTATAGATTCAAAATCAGTATCCAAAGAGAATATAAACTCAAAGAAAATCTCTAGATACATCATAACAAAAACTGCAGATAAAGAGATGAAAATATCTTGAAAGCATTTGGAGAAAATGGCATGTTACATGCATACATGGAAAGTGCATGCATGTATAAAAATGACATGACACCTGCATACATGATATTTGAAATAACTATGGGTGTTTTCAGCAAAACTCAAGACAGCAAAAGATCTTTAAAGGAATGTCAACTTAGATTATAGTTAACCTAGAATTCAGTAATACAACAAACATAACCTTTGGGAAAATAGATGAAATAAAGAGATTCTCAAGTGAGGGAAAAACCAAGAGAATTCATAGGCGGTAGACTGTTCTATAAGAAATGCTAAAGGAATTTCTTCAGGCTGTCAGGATATTTCCCAGGGGCAAATTGATTTTCAAGAACAAAGGAAAACCTCGGAGTAGTATTTATCTGGGTAAAAATTCAGGGCTGCTGTTTTACTCTTACATTCTTTAAAATTCATATGATGGCTTAAAACAAAGACAAACTTTTTCTTGAGAGTTTTCAGTGTATGTTGATGTGATACATATAACAATAACATAAAGGGGGGAAGAGAAAGGGACTTATACTGTTGCAAATTCTCTAAATTTTATATTAAGTATAATATTAACTCAAGAAAACTATGAAATATTAAATATGCATGTTTTTATCTTCAGAGCAACAAGTGAAAAAAGAGAAATAAAAAAGACATCAGAATAAAATTATCAAAACAGAAAGAGACAGAAGAGAAAGGGTAGTGAAACTGAAAAAAACAGAAGAGATAAAAAGAAAGGAAGTAGTAAAATATTGGCTTGAAATTCAACCATATCAATAATTATATTAAATTTAAAGATCTAACTTCTGTTAAAAAGCTTAACAGCATAAAACAAAAAGCAAGACCCTACTATATGTTGCCTACAAAAATCATTTTAAATACAAAGACAGACAAGTAGAAAATAAATAGATAGTAAAAGATATAAAAACAGTGTAAGAAAGCTGGGGAAACTATTTCAGTATTATGTTAGATAGAATGTGAGGTAAAGGGTATAACCATAGTTAAAGAAAGATATTTTATAATATAAAAAGGAAAATTCACCAGAAAAGATGATCATAAATGCTAAGTCAGGCATGGTGATGATCTTAGGTAGTTGGAGGGTTGAGGCAAGAGGATGGCTAAGTTCAAGCTCAGCCCAGGCAACTTAGTGAGACCCTGTTTTAATAAATAAATAAACAAACAGGGATAGGAGTATAGTTCAGTGCAAAGGTGCTAGGTTCAATCCCCAGTACTACCCCCTCAAAAATGTGAATACACTTAATAATAAAGACTCAAAATATATAGCAAAATAATAAAAATTAACAGAATTTAAAGGAAGAAAATAGACAATTCTACATCTGTAGAATGGTCGTCATCTATTTAGAGAAGTAGATCCTTCCCCTAGAAATCAGAATAAACAAGAAGATCTAAATAACATGATCAACTACTTTTGTGTAATTAACATCCATGCACACTTGATGAAACAACTGCAGAACACACTTTGTTGGTGGTACACATGATGTGGTCATAATACAGGCCACTGTTTGGATCACAAAATAAGTCCCAGTCAGAGAAGTCACAATCACACAAAGTGTATTCTCAGAGCACAGGACACCAAATTAGAAATCAATAAAATACATATGAAACCCCCTAACTATGCATCTTTAACTTATCAGTGAAAGACAAAAATCAAAAGAGATCCGGAGTGTTGCAAATGATCTGAAATTAGACAGCAGTGATGATTGTGTAACCTTGTGACTCCACCAAACAGCCTTGAACTATTTTTAAATGGTTGGTTTTATGATACATGAATCATAGCTCAATTTTTATAAGGGGCTTTAAAAAGTCTAATCTTAAAAAAATAAAACTATTACATATCTAAATATGACATATATAGTGAGAACAGTATCTAAAGAAAAACTAGCAGCATTAAATATATTTATGTTTCTTTATATTTATATTTTATATTACTATATTTATATTGTACTTATTATTTATATTATATTTATAGTAGAAAAGAAGATCCAAAAAATCAATGGCCTAAGGTTATACCTTAACAAAAAAATAAAGAGACAATAATAATAAAGATAAGAAATCAATAAAACAGAGAAACAATACAGAAAATGAGCAGAGTCATAAGCAGTTTCTTTGATCAGATCAATAATACTGACAAATCCAAAACTCAAGGAAAATAAAGCATGCAAATCACCAGTATCAGGAATGAAACTATCGCTCCTACAAACATTAGGAAGGTAAAGAAACCAAAAGCAGTGCAGCATGTCTGTTATCCCAGCACTCTGAGAAGATGAGGCAGAAAGATCTCAAGTATGAGCCCTAGGCCTAGAGAATTTCCCTGGTAAATTACTCAAGGAAAAAATAACACCAATCCGAATATAAACTTTGTCAAAAAATAGAGAAAGATCATTAATCTGTTTGTTTCATGACACCACCCAAACCCTAATGCCCTTGATAAAAACATCAGAAAAAAGGAAAATTATAAACCTGTATCTCTCACAAAGAATCCAAAACCTTCAATACATTTTACTAAATCAAACCTAGCCATATATAAAAAAAAATCTTATCATGAACATGTAGAGTTTATTCCAGTAATGAAGGTTTGTTTAATATTCAAGAATCTATTAATGAAGCCAGATGTGCTGCACACCTGGATTCCTAGCACTCTGGGAGCCAGAGGCAGAAAGATCACATGTTTGAACCTGGCTTGAACTTAGTGACAGAAGCAAGGCATAAAGAGTATATACTGAAGGGGCTGGGGATTTAGCTCAGCGGCACAGCGCCTGCCTGGCAAGCGCAAGGTCGTGAGTTTGATTCCCGGTACCGGAAAAAAAAAAGAGTATATACTGTATAAGTCTACTTATAAAAAACTCTAAACATGTACAGTTTACTGTACTTCCATGTGCCTTAATAAACTTAAAGCAAGAAATCTAAGAAAGGAATTCTGAGAGTCAGAATTTGCACAACTAATTAGGAGACACAGGAGAACCAGAGTGCGGTCATCAGTGCTGCAAATGACCTTCTGTCCACGTGGTCTAACTTCTTCGTCCTGTCTCTCAGCCTGCTCCATGCCCCAGCTGTGCCTCCAAAGACTCAGATGCTCCTTCACAGACAGTCTCAACCTTGGCTTCTCTAGCTAGCTCCCCAAACAAGGTCCCTGTGCACCGGCTGCTGCCAGGCAGGCATTAAGCATACTGGGGGTTGGGGTCCACTGACAGCTGCACCAGCAACAGCCAGCCGACACCACTTCACTGGAGGAGAACAGGACGCAGCTTTCTATCCAGAAGGAAATCACTTACAGATGTTCAAATCCCAGATTACACCACCAGCAGAAGGTAGAAACAAACCGCAGGCAGATCCACAGAGAAGAGAACCCCCACCCCCATCCCAAAAGCAAAGAGCGGCTCTGCAGACCAGCAAAGCAGCTGCTGCATCAGTCCCAGGAGGAGGACAAAGTGGACCTGAAAATTCCAAACTATTCAAACTTTTTGACTCTACTTGCCTTACCAATCTGCTTCACCTGAACATGCTATGTTCTCTACCATGCTGTGTACAGTCCGCACACTCACATACACGTACACACACAGTATCTGAGTCTCACACCTCTCATTTAGAGATGTAAACCCTGTCACTCATGAGATAAGACGTGTGTCAGTCTCTGTAACTGCAAAGAACCAAACATAATGCTGGGGATTTTGACTGCTTTACAAAGAACAGACTTAAATAGCAAGATGTGCACATTGTATACCCAGTAAGAAGCACCATGAGGAACAGGACCATGTCCGATGGCTCTCCTGAAAACTCCACACCACTTCTGACATTCTGCCCAGTAACTTCCCGCCTAGTGGCCTGCTGAGCTTTAGGCGGAGGGTCCCCAACATCCTTGGGGTCACCACTAAAGACAAGCCCTACAGAATGAGAACAGATGCACCTCCTTCAGCTGTATAAATCAAGACAAGCTGCTGAGAAACAGCTAGGTCTGGGAACTCTCCAATGTCCCAGGCTGAATTTGCATCTCAAGGCTGGAGAACTCACTGCACTTTCTGAATCGGCACAACTGGTGATCAAGGATTAAAACTAGTTACAGAGCCTTACAGCAGAAGCAGTGTGCTTTCATTGCAAAGAATGAGATGACAGAGGCCCATGCTGCAGGACCCAAGCTTCAACATCACGCACACAAAGAGGAAAAATAACCAGTTTCAGAACCAGTACCACCACAACGGCATTATAATCCACTGATTTACTCACTAAACATTTATGTAGCATTTGCTCTATGCTCTATGCCCCAGGGTTACAGGTGTAAGCAAAACAGTCATTCTTTGCCCTCATGGAACATACACATGAAAATCTAGTCAAATTCACAGTTGTTCTTTTAAAAAGTGAAAAGATCTGGTTTTATTTAAAGCAACATTTTGGCAGAATCACATCCACATTATAAGGTATAAATACAAATCAGGGCAGCTAGCTTTCACACGTGGCTTTGGGTCCCTCTCGTTATGTTACAGCCCTCCTGAGCCTCGCAGGCCTCCTCTTGGGACCAGTGTGTCCCTGAAACATTCAGCCACAATCCACATTCTCACGGGCAAGAAGCAAGGGGTGGGAGCTGACCTCTCGCCACCTGGCTCCCGCGCTGCTGGAGATGTACACGTTGGTCTTGCTTGCCAGGTTTTTTCCCACCGAGCCTAAAATGAAAGAAGAAGGACTATTTTTCATGTCAAGACTATGTCAGAGAATCACCTTGTCCAACCACAAATTCTGAGTAGTATCTGGCAACCAAAACTGTCCTAAAACCACAAAGAGCAGTCGCTGCTGCAAATGTGAATGATCACACTGTTATTGGCTGCACAGAACGAGACTGCCGAAGCCCCGGAGAGCAAGGGGCAGAGCACACTTACCTGTGGCAATGATGAGCCCAGGGGCGGACTCCTTGGACAGGATGGGCATCCTCCGGAGCTGGAGATTGAGCAGCTGACTGAGACGCTGGGCCAGGTGCAGGGAACAGCCCTGGGAAAGCTACGTAATGAAAGTGCCAGACAATGTCAGCATACAGCCCTCAAATCCAGCAGCCCATGTAAGGACCCCCTAGTTATACCCAGAGCAAGCAGACCTGCAAGGAGCCCAGAGAAAACTAGACTCACAGCCTAGCTGTCTCCAAACTCTACCCCGCAGACGGAGTGGATCGTCTGAGCCCCACAAGTGTCTATCATTGAAGCAAAGAGGAAAAATAACTCTAAAACTCCGGAGACTCTGAAGGAATAACAATTATAAATCAACGTCAACTCAAGCAGATAGAAAACGGACCCCTCACTCCCTATCACCCAGAGATCCTCTCAAGTGACTCAAAGCTAAAGAGAAATGAAATGATGTCGTGGTATTTATTTTCTAAATCAGTGGGTATGTGCTTCCAATATAATTCCAGCAATTCTGTCAGAAGAAAAAGCAAGAGTCAGAAATCATAAAGTCTTACTGAGAAGCTCCCAGATGTACAACATATGAGATATGAACACCAAAGGATTCACATTAAATGTTTAAAGAAGTGTTCTACATCTTACACAAACGTGGTAGTATGAAGCAAGGGTCCAACTTATTTAAGCTGACCTCCATCAGTTATGTCTAGATTTTAATAGTTCTCTGCAAATCACCAGCATAGCACTTTTGATATATGCTCATGCCTGATTCTCTTGGCTTGAAAGTGATTGCTCAAGGTCATTAAGATCTGTCCAGCATTCCCACAAAGGAACTCTGCATGTGCTTATGGCAGAGATAAAAACTGTAACAAGGTTGGATTTACTTATTTTTTTCACAAAAGGATCTCTAATAAATATCTGTCTTGCTAGCTTCCCAGTTTGGCTAACAAAAATTGGAAAAAATTAGACTGGATCTCAAAGAAATATTTACTTGACCACTCTCCCTCTTTTGACTCATGCTTCTGTGTCTGCAAGGAAGTCTTCACGAAGGTGTTTCTGTATCTTCTGTCAGATTTTAGCCATCCCTATATATTCTTTTCACAGTTTGTTTTAGTTTGAACTGTTCCCCAAAGGGTGTGTGCTAAAAGCTTGGTTGACAGCCTGTGGCCCTATCAGGAAGTAGGATCTAGTGGGAGGAAGTTATATCATTGGGGTGTGCCCTTGAAGTAGGATCTAGTGGAAGGAAGTTATATCATTGGGGTGTGCTCTTGAAGGGCACACTGGGCCTCCACCCCTTCTCTGTTTTCTCTGCTTCCCAGCTGCCATGATGTGAGCTGCTTTGCTCTACCAGGTAGTCTTCAACCATGATGCTCAGTTTTATCACAGGCTCAAAGAGGGGCCAAGCAGCCACGGACTGAAACCTCTGAAACCATGAGCCAAAATAAATTCTTATGCCTTATAAATTCATCTTTTGCGGGCTGGGGATATAGCTCAGTGGCACAGCACCTGCCTGGCAAGTGTGAAGTCGTGAGTTCAATTCCTGGTACCAAAAAATAAAATAAAATAAAATAAATCGATCTTTCGTTGGTATTTTATCCCATGGATAGAAACCTAACACACCACTTAAACTCAGAAGTAGAAAGTAAAAGCCTATTAACCACCCTACAGTTCATAAATTGATCAGTTCAGGAGAGAAAAAAAAAAACTGAACAGTGTGATTAATTGTATTTAACCAAGCTCTGACTCCTGTGGTATGCTAAAAAACACAAAAGCCCCATCCACACCAGGATCAAGCTAAACTGCTGAGGTCATAAGACACTTATCCTGGGAGGCAGGATAAGTGTCTAGGTATTTAGTAATTATATCTTGCTTTAGCGTGGTGATTTCCAAAATTAGAACCAATGTGGTAAATCAAAACCTGTTGCCAAAAGGGGATGAAAAGTCAAGAGGGTAAGAGTCTTACCCTCTAGGGTAAGAGTCTCCAAAGGAATTTTCCCAAATGCCCCAGATAAAGAATAGAGAAAGGTTGCCATCACTGATAAACTCAAAAATCTTAAAGACCAGGTAATTATCTAACTAAATTAAGATCTATCTATCCTAATTAGAGGATAGTTACCAAAATGTCACAGTTGTCCCCTAATGAGCACTGCTTATTTTTTTCTGAGTTTCTTCTGCTCACACCCTAGATTTGTTACACAAAATAGGAACAGAGTATGGGGTGTCACACAAAACCAAAGACATGATCCATAAGCTATTTGGAGTTATAGGACTAATAATCCATTTTGATATTCCTAGCATTTTAGGTAGGGCTATAGGCAGAAAAACTACAATCCTGAGTTACTTTCAGAAAAGAATTTTAGAACTAGTTCCACAGAAATAATAACTGATACAAAATATCCCCAAATAATCTACACTTAAAACAAAATTAGTGCTTCAGTAATGTTTTATAGCAGAAGAAATGACAACGTATGTGTTTTAAGTAGCTACATCCAAACAGCTTATCAAGTATATATGACCAAACAACAGCGTGTGTTTCAAACAATAATATATATTAACTAAATTTTTGAATAACCACAATTACCTGCTAACAGAATGTAACTTTGGAATTAGATGGGACACTATCACCTTCATTTCCTATTCCACCCTGAGAGTCTCACTTTTTTTCCCTATCACAGCAACTTCTGAAAAATTCAACTTCCTAAAGAAATACAACATGACCTGATGTTGAAATTGTGAACTAATTCAAGCTAGTTACTTAGATAATTCCCATGATCTAATAGAGGTCTGGTAGCATGGCAGTTCCCTCAAAACTTCAAAATATGGGGCTGGAGTGTAGCTTAGTGGTAAAATGTATGCTTAGCACATGCAAGGCCCTGGGTTCATTCCCCAGCACCAAAAAAAGCTCATGTGTTTTAAATATCCCATTGCTACCCTATGAGTACTCCACAATACCTCAGTGCAGAGTCCTGGGCCAGCAAAAGTGGAAATATAGATAAACATTTGTTTCATGTGATATCATCAGAGGACTATGGGATCTTGCATGTTTTTAGTATATATGAGATGTAGGAAACCACTACAAAGCAAAGCTTTTTTCCTTGTATTAGAAAGCCAAACAAGATTAAAGCATCTGGGACTGGAGATTTAGCTCAGTGGCACAGCGCCTGTCTGATAAGCACAAGGTCGTGAGTTCGATTCCCGGTACCAGGAAAAAAAAAAAAAAAAGATTACAGCATCTATACCTCACAATTGATTTTCTCTCCATATTCTGTGAAGGCTGGAGCTTGAATAAATTCCCAAGTTCCCCCTTTGTCAAAGGTGATGACCGATCTCATGTTCTCCTCATTCATGGAGCCATTAATCAGAGTAGCAATGTAGACTCCTTGTAACCCTTCCACACGGTGGAAGTCAGCAAATGGCTCATTTGCAAAATACCTGCAGTATGAGAAAATAAAGAGCTGTGAACCTCAAAATGATAATTTTCTTGGCTTTTTAAAGAATCATATGTAACATAAAATTTAACCACTCCAAAGTATAAAGTTCAGCGGTATTGTGTACATTCACAGTGTTGTACTACCATCATAACCATCTAGTTCCAGAACATTCTTGCCACCTGCAGTCACTGTACATTTGTCCTTCATTTCCCAGGCCTTAGCAACCACTGATCTGCTTTCTATTACTATGGGTTTGCTGAATCTAGCTATTTCATATATGTGGAATCACATAATAGGCGGTCTTTTGTATCTGGTTACTTTCACTTAATATAATATTTTCAAGGTTCGCCCATGTTGTAGCACATAGCATACTTTGTTTCTTTTTATGGATAAATAATCTGCCCTTTAAAACAAAAAAAAAAGAGTGATTTTGTTTTAACTTTGAAGTCCAAGGTGTTTATCTGATCAGCAACTCCTAGCCAGGGGTTTAGAATGATGAGGATATCGTGCAAAAGTTGACACAGAGTCACAACTATTTCTTCACCGTGGAAACTGACCCAAATCTTCCAGTGATCCTTGACAAATAGGAAACACTACACTGGACTTGCAATACATAAATAACAATGCTGAGGCTTAAAATTCAACTCAATCTGTAGAAAAATATAGCACAGGATTACACAGTTATGACACAAGTACTTACAACCTAATTATCAAACAACCTCGTCACACAGATGCCCACAGGGTTTTCTGTCAAGAAGCCCAGCAATATGAAGCTTGCTTCCCAAAGAAGCAATCCATAGAGCAAGGATAGTTCTAGAAAGCCTGAGGTTGTACTTGGTAACAGGGAAGCACAGAATAAGACCCTTTCAGGCTGTAACTGCTATGCCAGCACACTGTGCTTTCACTAAGAAAGGATTCACACTAAAACGGTACAAACATTACAAATATAACAGATTTCTGGGAAATGGTAACCATGGTTCACACATGGCTCTTAAAATTGGAACTCTGCCCTTTATTTGAGGGGTTCTGAGCCACTGGCCTACACAGTGAAGCAGAGAATTGCTTTTTTCCATCAGACGCCATACAAATCTCCTGAGCTGGATGATTGCTCCACCACGTCAGACAAGGAGACGCACACAACCTCTGAGGCAGTAAACAGGAAATAAGCAGCAGCACCAACAAAGCCGCTTTGGAATGACAGGCTGAGCAAAATCCTACAAAAAAAAGCCAGAGTTGACTCCAAATTCTCTGATGTCTGATTCCATAGGTGTCTCTTAGTTATTTTTCTGGTGCTGCCTTAAGAATCATCTGAGGGTCTCTCACCTGCTTGCACTCTATTTACCTCAACATTCCTGCCTTCATTTCTGTCATCATGAAATCTGCCATCCTGAGGTTTATCAGCTTCTTTCCCACATCTGGGAGACCTGAGTTGCTATTGGTTAGGTAAACCCTTTTTCTTTCAGCTGGTCATATTCCTGGAGTTTTATCTTTACTTCTAAGCCAAAGGCTGTCTTCTTGTACCTCACATTCCATCTGCTTTACTCTGCTCAAACTTTCACTTCCTCCCTTGACTTGCCTCACCCTCAGTATACTTAAGGAGTCTATTTTTTCCATCTTATCCTCACCAGAGCACTTCTCTTTTTCCGAGAGTGCCCTGGGCCAAGACTTGCCAGAGACTCACCAAGAGTCCTCTTCTGCCATACTGAGTGAAAATCTACTGACTGGCAGCCATTCCCACCCACAGAGCCAGTGTTCCCCTTTAAGATGCCCCTGAGGGCCTGCCGTGTCCTCAGGACATCAGCTCTTCAAAAAAGGCCTACATCTAGCTTCAACATTCCATGAGATTCCTACACTGCACATCTCACGAATTCCTGTGTAATCCCCTATTAAGAGTTCTTTCTCCATTTCTCTAAGGAAATTAGAACCAGTTCCTCTAGCTCATTTCAAAGACCACAGAAGTTGGTTTAAACCAGGCTGCTCACGTCATCTAATTCACCCTTATCCCATTTCATCTGGCTGAGGCTGAGATGCAGATGACAAAAGATCCCTCCATTGAGCACATCTAAATCCCTGTAGTCTGAGACAAAATCTGAAAAAAAAAAAAAAAAAGAGTCAGAAAACTCCAGGATGTCGGTCTTTTTATATGAATCTATTTTTCAATTTCTTAACTGTACTGCACACTCAGGCAGAGTGGGAAGAAACTTCATCACGTAACAGGCTGTGTGTACGTGTGTAGTGGCCCTGTGGTCGTGTAACTGACGTCATTACTTCCTGGGGAGCCCCTTCCTGAAGCTTCTGGCTCCTCCACTGCCTTACCATGAGATATTCATCTAAGTATCTGGCAAATGAAGAAGATGAAGAAAATGTGGGTAATCTGTGACTTATCTACTCCACAGCCAGAGGCTCTAGACAGTAGAAAAAAAGAGATAGTAAAAAACCCAAAGGGTAATGGTTCGTGAATTTAAATTATAAAATGTAAAGATAATAGTATTCACTTATGAAAAAGAGTGCGGTACTGATATATGCTACATGTGAATGAGTCTTACAAATATTATGCTAAATGAAAGAAGCCAGACCAAGAAGCTTGCCTATTATCATATAATTCCATTTAAATGAAATAGCCAAAATAGGAACATTTACAAAGACAAAAACTAAACTGATGGCAAGCTAGGTATGGTAGTCTACACCTAAGGAGGCTGAGGCATGAGGATCGCTGTAAGTTCAAGGTGAGCCTGAACTATAAAGAGAGATCCCGTCTCAAAAAAAAAAAAAAGATGATAAAAGAAATTAAACTGATGGCTGCCGGTATGGTGGGAGGAGGGAATAGTGGGGAAATAAAGCTGTTTAATGGATATGAGATTTTCCTTTGGAGAAATGAAAATATTCTTGAGCTAGATAAAGGTGGTTGTTACGGTATATATTTAGATCGTCCCCCCTAAGAGGCTCATGGGCTCAGAGGAAGAGCTTTGGAAGGTGATTGAATCATCAGGGCAATATAGCAGCTGACTTGCTATGGGAGAGATGGGGCCTAGTCACCAGGGACAGGGCCTGGATGCATGTCCTTTCCCAGCTCCACCCTCCACTCTCTGCTTCCTGGCTGCCGTGACATGAGCAGCTTCCCTCCACCCAGACCCTTTTGCCAAGCTGTTTCCATGTTTAAGCCTTGCCAGACATGGACTGGAGCTTCTGAACTCAGCCAAAATAACCTCTGCTCCTTTAACGGAGCTGATTTCAGGTACTGAGTCCAAGCAATGAGGAAATGACTGAGACAGTGTTGCTTTGTGCAACTTTGTAAAAGTACTAAATGCCACAGAATTGTTTACTTTAAAATGGCTATGCTGATGTTATGTGAATTTCACCTCCATAAGTTATTCTTTTAAAACAATAAAAAGACACAGGACCCAACCTGAGGAAGCCAGATGCTACCACCAACCAAACCAGAATAACCTGAATATCAGGATGAACCATGACAGGAACGACTTACAACACATTAAATAAAAATAACCCATGAGTCTATTTTTGGAGGAGAAAAAAAAATGGATGAAACATGGCAGTACCTCCAAAAGAGAAGAAACAGGACGTGGAAACACACTATTGGAGACCAGGTAACTCTAATATCTGGTAAGTTTAATATCTAATATCTCCACTTAATAAGTCCAAAACTGAACTCATGATTACTCCCCTGTACATGTTCCTCATCCCACTCTCCTGACTTCACCCCTCAATGATGGTCCCCTGGGTACCTTATCCCATTCATTGTCAATCCATCAGCAGATCTATTGGCTCTATTTTGAAAATATATTTGGAATCAAAACACTTCAGTCATCTGCAATGATCAAATCTTCCCATTCTACCCTTGCCCCTACTTTAGTCAACTTTCTATGGAGCATTGAGGGTAACTTCTGTGAAAAGATGAGACACATAGTTGTTCACTCAACGCTGTAACGCTTATATCCATTGATGTTTTTTGTACTTTTCTTTATGTAATGCAATTTATAAACAGAAAAAATCAAGAGGATAAGTCAGATGGTGTCTATTTCACTCATTAAAAAATACAATAATTGCTTTTCATGCCCTGAAAGGTCCTACACCACCTGAGTCCTGTTTTCTAGAATCCTGTCACCACCTTCTCTCTGCTCTCCTTCAGTGGTTGGAAGCACTGGGCCCCTGCACTGCTCCTTAGGCACACCATGGCAGAACTCCCTGTCACTGGGCTAGCTGTCTCTCTGCTTGCAGGACTCTTCCCACGCTGTCTCCTTTCCTGGCTGGCATTCTCCTTTCCATAACTCAGGCACCTGCTCAAATATAGCTTCCTGGACCCGCCTATATAAACAAACACCCTAATAATTTGCTACACCCTGATCTGGCTTTACTTTTCTGCCCAGTAGATTACACATTGGTTTCTACTCTGCTTCCCTCCAACTACAACATAAGCTCCACAGAGGAGGGACTTTGACGTCTCACTGCCATCCACACGACTTTGTTGCTGAACCTAGAACCCTATTGATCACAGAGCAGCAGCACACAGTGGACTGAACTAGTGAGAGAATGAATGAGTAACAAGGGAAGGGTGTGAGCAACAGGCATGTGTCCTCTGACCTGGTGAGCATGACTGCAGACCAGACCTTACCCCAGACCAGACAGCTTCACACAGACTGCCCTCACCAACAGCAGAAAATGAGCCTGTCACAGTCATACTGAGTTGTTAGGTGACAAATGACAATAAATGAATTTATAGCGCTCAAAGGCTCTTAGGAATCTACTCATCCCTGCCAAACCCCGACTCCTACTCACCCCTTTGATAAGTATGTTGCTCAGAGAACACCCCCAGCTAGGACTACAAAATTGCCCACACATTTGATTTACAGATAAAGGATCGATGATGCTGGTGCCTTTCTTACAAAACACAATCTTGCAATTATCTTCTAAAAAAGGAGAGATGATGTCAATTAACCTGAGTCACCTGGAGGCAGGGCCCCATAGCCACATATGCCAGCTCTCTCTGGCTTGATATTTTCCAAGTGCTCTTTCTCGTTGGATCAGAGACCACAAAAACCAGATAACTGAATGGAGTGAGCCCGAGGGAGCGGTTAACAGAGCAGCTGTAACCCTAAATGTCATCCAGAACAGTGGCTCTCAGCCTTGGCTGCACATAAGGATCACCTGGGGACATTCTTAAACTCTTCAAATCCAAGTTGTACCTCCAACCAATTTAATTGAAATCTTTGGCCATCACTGTCAGATACCATGGTTCTGAAAGTACCTAGGTTGGTCCATATGTGCAGTGGATATTGGAAAACATGTGCGATGGTGTGAATATGATGTTTCAGGCTGGGGGTGTAGTTCATGGCGCTGGCCTTGCATGGGTGAGGCCCTAGGCCGAATCCCCAGCATTGCCCAAAAAATGATCCCCCAAAGACTCATGTATTGCAAGCTTGATTTTTAATGCAGCAATGTTCAGAGGTGGGGCCTTGAGAGGTGACTGGATCCTAAGGCCCAGGACCTGCATCAGTGGTTTATTGATGAGTGTACAGCAGAATGGGCTATTAAAAAGCAGGCCTTGCCTGGAGGAAGTAGGTCTCAGGGACATGGCTTCAAAGGCCTCTTCCTCTCTCCCCACATACCAGTTGCCATTAGGTAAGCAGCTTCACTTCACCACATCCTTCTACCATGGCAGTCTGCCTCAGCTCAGCTCCACAGGAACAGAATCAGCAGAATCAGCTAACTGAAATCTCTGAAACCATGAACCAAAACCAACTCGCCCTCCTTTAAATTGACTTTCCCAGGAATTTTGTCAAATGGCAGCAAGGTAGCTAACACAGAAAGCACGGAACTAGAAGTGGCCAATGGCCTTGTTGATCTAAGAAGGCGGAGGAGGGTCCCACAATCTCCTTACCTCACTAGTGTGTCGCTGCCGGCCCCTCCTGGGCTGTAATACAGCACATTCTCCAAGGATAGAGAGAACTTCAGCCCCTCTGCCTCTGAGATGTATAAATTCGTGCGATTGTTACTATGACTGACACACACAAAGACCTGATCCTCGGAGGCATCTGCGATGTAATATTCCTTTGGAACCAAAATTCAAGAAATATATAAATCAAAAAATGATTTTGCCTCGTAGACTTTTTCTATGCATATTAAAGCAATGACTTTCAAATGTCCCAGTGACACAAGTGGGTACAAAGCCCCGCAGAAAAGTCCCCAACTTTGACGAACAAGCTTTGATGACTTTCCATTCAGAGAACCTGAGGCTGCCCTGTAGCTGGACCGGGATTTTTATGGGGCACAAAAAAGCACTGGACTCTGAACTTTAAAAATGACCTATAAAGCTCTCTTTGGATATTAATGCCTTCCTGTTTTACTTTTAAGAGACTTTTCATTAGTACAAAATATAATATATATTAATATGTATTTCATTTCCTTTTCTTTGCCCTAAGGTGACTTAAAAGAAGGCAGAACCTACAGACAGTGGGAAAGAACTGCTAAGATTGTTCTCCATCACATTCTCCTTGGAGCCACTAACTTTTCACCAAATAACTGCTAATATCAAGGCCTTCAGTGGACCCTCCTCCCCGCATTACTTCCCTGATGACCCTTCCCTGCGCTGGTCTTTTCTATCAATCTTTGAGTTATAATGTTGCACGTTCAAGGACTTCACTTTGGTATATTCCTCTGCTCTATACTTGGTCTCTCCAATCTGTTTCTAAAAGGTGGGTGTCTCCAAATCCGTCGCCTTTGGAGCCTGGCTACCTGCAAGCAATCCAGCAGGTACTCCATAAGTAAGCACTTTGGGCATACCCTTCCCACTGCTTCAGCACTGCCACGTGAGGCCACTGACTCTAATACAACCCCTCTGCCAATCTTACTTCACTTAAAGCAAATTAAGGCTGCTGTTAAGCTCCACTTCAAACAATGAAATGGGCAACAACAGGCCAACATGCCCAAAGCACTAAAGGCCCTTTCTAGAGCCTTCTCTGGAAAGGGACTTCAGGGACCCTTCCTAAAATATCCACCCCAGCAGTACACCCCCATCCCATCCATCCCCTAACCTCTGAAGGGGACAGTACGATTTCTCCCCAACCTCTAGCAGACCTCACTCACATTAATAGGATGTCTTGTGACAAACTGGGCCGCTCGCATGGGCTTCCGGCCAAAGGAGACCCAGAGCTGGACAGAAGACTGTGGGTGATTGCCCTGGAGATGCTGCCAAGGAAGAGGAAAACATAATTAATTGTGCCAAAGATAGCCGCTCAACATAACTGAGGAAGGAAACAAGTTAGACCTTTTTAATTCCACTGAAAATGCAAAATAGAAACAATGATTACAAATTCATATTTTTGCAATGACTGTCCTCAATGGATAGCCTGGGCAGGGTTGTTTTGTGCTGGATATCAGGTCTGCAATAAATACTAGATATTAGAAAGGAAGCACAAAGGTATGATGGGAAAACTTGGACTTGGCAGGGTGCTGGAAACACCAGTGCTTAGGAAGAGTGAGAAAAGGAGGGAGGGTTGTGGAACAAGGTTGAGGAGAGCAGGGGGAAGGGGCACAGCCTACATCCTCCGAACTAGTGCAGATGAGATCAGCCACCGGGAAGACATGCCTTTCTACTCATACTTTTTTTTAAGTCATAAGGCTTAAATTTATACTAAAACTCAAGGGAATCCTCAGTGACCCTTTTTTCTAATCTCTGAGTAAGATCTCTTGCCGGAATATGTATTCTTTGATAGAATAGAATATTCAACATGATATTGACCACATCACATTGCATTTCAAAGTTTCTGAGCCACGGATACAATTTTGCAAATGTGTATAAAAGCACTGGATTAACAGGATCTTGACTTCTCTGTGGGTGGATAGGTTTAAATGAATATATATATATATCCCATCAATATGGGGATATATGCAATATATCAAATTTGGGGCCACTCGCATGGGCTTTCCATATATCAAATATATGCAAATTTTTGCACATGTATATTAAGTCATTTTGCTAATTCATTTTAAAACAAACTTTTTAACCATTTGTGCAGTGACAATTTGAATATATATAAGCAATTTCGTGTTTATCAGCTTGATCCTCTGTTATGGTTGACACATTGTGTCAACTTGGGGAGTCTAGAGGTTTGGCTAAGTGACTCAGCAGGAAGCCAGGGTGCTTACTTTGTATACGTCCTGAGCCTGTGGAAGAGGAGGGCATGGAGATTATGTGAGAGCTACACGCCCCTTAGGTGGGGGTAGGGGCGTGTAGCTGTTTACAATGTAAGGCAGGGAAAGAAGCTGCTTGGAGCCATTCCTTCCTTTTTGCTCTGGCTGCTTTGCTGTTCGGCTGCCATTCCCCCCTTTGCTCTTGTTGCTTTGCTGTCTTCTGCCTCGGAGCCAGCCAAGTATGGACTGAAACCTCCACAAACTGTAAGCTAAATAAACCTTTCCTTCCTTAATTTTGGGCATTGGGTATTTTGTCTCAGCAATGAGAGAAAAGTAACCAAGACATCCTCACATAGTATTTATGGGGCATACATATGCAGAAGATAGTGAGTTGCAATTGGCATGTTCTTGACCCTCTGTAGGAAGTTAGTGTCTATAATAAAGAAGAAAGATATGGAAAGTCCATATCTTTCATCAGAGTTTTAAAGAGTCCATGACTCAAAAACAGTAAGAATTGTCATAGACGGTGTATTTTTCCAACTCTAATAAAAATATGCGCCTGGGACTTAAAAAGTAAATGCTGCATATCTATCAGAAAAGACACAGGGATACACAACACTAAGTGGATACGATCACACAAATAACTATTAAGGTTATTTGGATGTTGGAATCTCCAGCCAGAACAGGTGAGTGTGGCTTCATTATCCTTGACTAGTTTGCTACTTATTACAATTGTTAACTTTCTACAGAAGATCAAGAACAGAGCAACTGTCTTAACTGCAGTATAACAGCAATTCAGTACCCTCTGTTCATGTATGCCCCACAAATACTACTTTGTGGGGACACAAAATTACTTCTAATTCATTTGGCCAGTGTACGTGTTCAAACCACCACTGCACAAATGGTTAGAAATAGGTTGTATGAAGAAGCCAGGTAGAGAAATACAAAAGACTGCCTTCCCAAAATGGTACCTTGAAAACCATGTTAATAGCTTGTATTCAGTATGGGGCAATAGCAAATGATATAACTATTAAAAACATAAGAATGTATTACTACATATGAATGAAAAAAGTTCCCATCAAAAACCATTAAATATAAATTTACTCATTCAATTAATTACATTTTATAGTTATGACAGATAACTAGTTTAAGTGGCCCAATACACATATAAATCTTTGTGTACATATATGTGAATATACAGATATGCATTTTTCCCTACTTCCAACTCTAAGTATAGCTTAAAAAGGAGAGTTCTCAGTGACAATCAGGCCCATCATTAGTTAAAAGTTCTTAATAACTGTGGCTCAGAGATCTGGGAATTGAGAATGTATATCAAGGCCAGTTTTATACCAAAATGCAAAAACCACAGAATACTACAATCATTAAAAATTTGAAAATGCATCCATTTTACTATGTTCTGGGAGAATTCCTATTAAACCTGGGCAATTCAAGTTCACTTCTACAGTATTCTCAAGCAGTTACCATACTACAGTATTTCACTGCCACCAAGAAAAATATTAGTATTGCACCATGGCATTGTACTGGTTATAAGATGCATTACTAGCCTTTGATTCTTTCTTTCAGAAATTTTCGGTGCCTTAACATACAAGCATGCTCATATAGTGACAGAGATTGCTACTTCCAACACCCGCTATCCCTTAGCTCCAGGACAAGAAGGCCCTGACCACCATCCAGAATAAAATACTACAACTGTCTACCTCTTCTGTAACTATGCATGGTCATGTGACTAAGTACTAGTCAGTGAGGGGCAGCCAGAAGTATAGAAGAACTATTTTGCCTCTATGTCTCTCCTTCTTCTTCAACTGCAATAAGGACTCAATGGCGAGTGTGGACATCTTCCGAAAGGAACTGATTACTTAGGACGAGAGAACAGATAGATGACTGGGTCCTCTTCAAGAGATGGAGGAGGAGGATGGGAAAGAGGCATAAAAGACATTAAGGTGTTATGTACATGTACTAAATCCCCATAATGAATTTTCATTATGTCTTGCAAACATGTACTGACACAGTAAATAATAATAACTTCAAAGAACAAAAAGTCTAGGTCCCCAGCATAACGACATTCCACCACACCATTCCCCAGCCTACCTACTCCAAGCAGCACTCAAGAGAAAACTAAATGCCTATCTTGGTTAAGCCAGTTTTACTTCTTGTCTGTTATCAACAGTCTACCATAATCCCAAACTGTCACATGCAGCTGTGCACAGTGGCTCAAGCATCTGTAATCCCAGCTACTGGGGGTGGTGAGGCAGGAATATCACAAAGTCAAGCCTCACCAGACAGCTTATCAAGATGCTGTCTCGAGATTTAAAAAAAAAATTAAAATAAAATGGTAAAGAGTGGAGGATATAGCTTAGTGGTAGAACACCCTTGGGTTCTACTCCTGGAGGTAGGAGGGGATGTGATCCGTGTGATTTAATCTTTCATGTACAAATCAAGTCATAATATAAACACTGATGAACAACTTTTTCAGTGAATTATGTATCTATAATTCAACCTTTTTTCATGAATAGTGTATCTAATCTTTCCATTTAAGAGCTATTGATATACATTTAGGCTGTTTTCAGAAGTACTTTTCAAAGAGCACATATGTATATATTACCTTTTTTCAGAATTTTACAATACTTTGTGGAATGAAGTCTTAGAAGAAGGCTTGGGACAACTCTTTCATTTTTGATAAACATCATGAAAGGATCCATGGCACCTGCATTCATTCCTTTCCCAGCAACTAGGAATTACTTAAATATGTTCATTTAGGTCAATCCTACAGGGTCTGAGATTTCATAAGAAGATTTCTTTAATTTTGTGTTTTCAGTTCTGATCATTAAAAAAATTGATAGCAGTATCTAAATACATTTAATTTCAATTTCAATTTGAAATTACATTGAGAGTAAAAAGAATGAGATGGAGAAAAAGAAGTAAATAAATGACATAGTCTTCTCAAATAAAGGCCGAAGGGTACCGCAGTGAACTACTCAACTGAAAATCTCTAGCGGTGTCTCTGGAGGTAACTGGTAGAAGTATGAGGCCTCCCCAGGCATAAGGTGGCACAGAGACAATAATTCAGAAGCACCTGAGCCTTGGCTATAGCACTCAGTGCTACATTCTCCTTTGAAACAGTATCTCAGTTTCAGCTAAACATCATCCACATTAACGTTGTTTATATTGAACACCATAAATAAAATTAAGAAGCCAGGTATAATGGCATGCCTGTAGTCCCTGCTACTCAGGATGGGGAGGCCAGAGGATCCCTTCAACCCAGAATTTCACAACTAGCCTGGGCAACATTAGACCCCATCTCAATTTAAAAAGAAAAAAAAGATAAAAAAATGACATCTGGGATTTGTTGTAAAATATTCTAGGAAAAATATAGGTAGTAACTAAAGAGACACTAGCATATGCAGGTAATATTAAAGCTGGATGAGGGCATATGAGGTCATATCATTACTATTAAGTGCTCTTTTGTGTAGGCAGGAAAAGGATCATAATCAAGTGTACAAGATTAATATTACATGGAAGCATATTCCAAGTGGCAGAGAAAGGGATGTTAAATATTCATTGACACATTTAAAAAAGCAAGAAAAGTGGATAAATTCCCCAAATCAGCTTTTTTAGAATTCTGAAAATTAAATAAAAGTTTGCAAAAATCCAAGGAGCATTTTATGCAAGAACAATGGTGGAATCTTGGCAAGAAGGTCTAACTTTGCAAAGTTTTCACTTGGCCTAATCCCATCCCTTCTCTGCAGCTCTGTGGTAGCCTTGGAGACACACAGCCTCATAGCCACAATAGCGGTAAAAACCAGCAACCTCGCTACTGGAGAGGACAGAACAGCGTTGAAGGCTCCTAAAAACTCTTAGTTAGAAAACTGTCCCTGTTTCACTTCTCTGGTGGCTCACAGGAGAGCTGCATTCTCTTATCTTTGTACAGTTTAACTCACTGTAGAAACAGTCCCACAGCCAGCCAGGGTGTTCAAGAAACAGTGACGCATGACTGATAGCTGGCAGATATCTAACATCATAGCTGCCAGAGCCAG